AAGTTATTATGTGTTTAAATGCTTTATGTGGAGTCCTTGTAATTTTGGAAACTGGGAGCAAATATTTTGCGTATGGGCTTTATAGTGATTGCGTGTATAAAAATTTCGAGGGGTGTTTCAACATGAAGGATGTCACTTCCCTTGTAGTATTTTACAATATTTACGATGTATATGTAGGGTTTGTACAGAGTCCTACAAATAATAAAATATGTTTAAATTTAGAATTATAAACAGTTATGAAACAACTTTTAAATATAACTATTCTTAGATAAATATTTAGGTCTATCAAATAATTACAGACATACTGACTAATCCTTCAGAAAAGAAAAACATTACAATAAACTATAAAAGATACGTGTACGAATCGCTAACCCCATTCTCATCATGCTACTCGTAAAATATGTGTCTTGTGCTTATCAATAATCTACAAGTATATAAAATGTTCCCTCTTTTTTTCCCTATCAAAATCTTAGCATCAAATCTTTGCACTGCATTGGACGGCTTCGAATGCCAACGTTTGAACGCCATCATGAAGAAGGCATTGCCGGCATTAAGCTAGAGCTCTTGCCTGATCATGCAAATTTAAAGCAACCACCATTCAAGTTCGCAACTACTTCAGTTTATGAACCTTTCATGTAACGTGGTTATTTAGTAACTAAGTTCACAAAATTAGTCCTTGAATGAAATGTTGGCAAAGCGACAATAGGACCGAATCTGGCATTTTCAAATGAGCATGCCCACATTGTAATAAATTTTTATAAGAGTTGCAAAATTAATTTCTCACACAAATTCATGGACTCTTACATTGAAATCATTCTCAACATGCAAAACAGGACGCCCATGCTGATTCCTAATCGTTCGTGTCTTTTGTTTACTTTGCGGTAAATGTACAGCAAAGATGACTTTGTACGCATACCGCCAAAGTAAATTTCATTGAAAACAACGGAAAAGGAAGTACTAGTTTCCATGGCACGAGTGCTGGGAAAACTACACATTTTCATGGTTTACTGAACTTTGCCTAATTATTTTTTTCTCTAGTATTCAAATAGGTTGATACTCTTTGGCCAGTCAATTCTCAAGGCCTTACCATCACATAAAAGCAAATAAATTTAGTAACAACTTTACTGAAGTAGAATAACATTCCATAGAATCCATAGAAATGTATACATTTCACTAGTAATTCTCATGACTCCACATTCAATATTTGGAGTTGTTCATATTCTTACTTTCAATAGTTTCTATACTGTTATTTGCTACAACTACAAATTAATTATGCAAGGAGAATCATTGCAGTTAGAGACAAGATCTTGAGGTATTCATCAATATGTAAGGAATGTAAGAGGGGGTTTCATGCAGTGGGGTGGAGTGCAAGGTAGGGTGAGGACTCGTTGGGTTGCGGGTGGCGACGTGAATGGGGTTGTGGGGTATGGGGTCGTGGGTAAGGGGGTGAGTGGGATGAGAGGGCTATGTGGGGTTGCGGGCAATTGGGTGGTTACGTGGGATGCGATGGGACGGTGATGAGTCGCAGTGGCTTAGGCGGGACAGGAGGAGTGGCGTGGGGTGTGGATGGGGTGGGGCGGGCGTGGCAGTGGGGCGGCGTGGCGTGGGGGCGGGTGGGGTGGAGTGGGTGTTTTGTGATCATAAACATTTTGTATATAATCATCACAATACAATTTACACACTAGTAATGACATTTTTGAGATGAAGCAGATATTAGTTACAAAAATGTGGGATGAACCAAGAGATGTTGAATATTTCTGGTATCGCCTAGCAACTTCATTACACCTTTGTCATTTGAAAGTTAGCGTATATCAACCAACTGTATTCTAGCAATCCAGATATAAGGCAGGCAAATTATGGCATATTGCCACCAACTGAGCAAACACAAAAAAAGACATTCTGCAGTATTCTTTCCTAGGGACTTCTACAAATTAGAGGAAGCAAATGGATTATATTAGTGCTGAGAAATTATTGGCATTATTAATTAGTAGTTTATAGTCATATTTTGTTGTTGTTGGTCGTTCTTTTTCCAAAACTTCTTCTTTTATGAACTTCAAGTTTCCTTTTCTGTTGATTTATTTTTGTGACATGGTTGTGGAGTTTTGTTTAAAAATTTTCTAATCTGTTATTGTATGTAGAATTAGTAGAATAAAAATCCTTGGTAATTACAAAAAGAAAGTGGCTTGGAATTTGAAGATGTACTTTTGTGGTAATCGACGCAACTACGGGTGCTTTTTCATGCTCACACTTTAATATTATTCTCATTTCATATTCTGAGTATTTCAATAAAGAAAGTAAGAAAATATCAAAAATCTTCAAAGAGAAAATGTAGATGTTATTTAATTATGGCATATCTACACTGTTAGGCACGTGTTTGGGGTGGGAAAGTTTTATCAAATAGATAACGTGTACTTATAAAGGGAATGATCCAATCCAGAAACTAGTCACTAAAATCCTTGAGAATTATGGAAGTACATCATTTTCGTGTTCATCTTCTCTCCAAAATTTAGAATTTTGTAGGAATGTTTCATGTTTTATTCTAAATTTATCTAGTAAATATATCTAGATTTTCAATACTAGCATTTTTTGTTCGAAGTCAACAAAAAACATTAAAATATTTTGATTGCCAATAATAAAAAAGGATAACTGGATCAAAAAATTGTATAATTCTGAAGACTGTTAAATCTAATGCAAAACTATGTTGTAATTAGCTTTGATTCTTATAAATATGTTAATGCAGATTAAAGCTTTCCCAATAGTCAGGGCCAGAAGTAGTCCAAGAACAAGATCATTATTTCTATTCCTTAAATATACATTCGAATGATGACTCTTGGCAATATTTTGAAGTGATTTTAAAATCATATCACTGGTATTATCACTTTGGCTGAAATCCAGTCCATACTTCATAGCAACGAGCATGACAGAATTCTTCAGCAGTGATAAATGTTAGGCAAGCTGAAATATGTGCAGCGTTGGAGGCCAACACCTTTCACGTCGTAAAAGGAAAAAAATTGTTTTTTTTGCAAATGAGAGGATTGTCAATGTCCCTATGGAAAAATTTCTTTTTTACAGGTCTTTTTAAAGGTACCCCTGTATAAGACGGTAAAAGTTCCTCTACAACCCAAATTACATCTGAGTCGTTACACTATCACTAACAAATGGTTTCTACCCTGTCCATCACTTAGCACCCCTCTGCTCTGCAGCCAGCAAAAAGTGTTCTGGTTTTTTGCCCATGTTCCGACTTAACTCTATTTTATTGATTGGGAAAAAATTGAAGAAAAAGATATAATCTTAAACCTCCAAAACAAAATTTGGTTGTGACTTTTTTTCAGATTTTTCAAGCCGCCGGACTGCAGTAAAAAGAAAAAAACAACACATTTTTACCATTTTCCCCTGACTTTAAATACCTTGACTTCATTCTCCTTAGTTTTTGTGGCAGTTTATTATGGCAAACTACACAACTTTAAGTGTGATCTGGTGAATAGAGAATTACACTCAGTCAAGAACCTACCACGCTGCATCGAACAGATATCCAATGAAAAATAGAAGTTGCAGATTTTGACAAACAAAAAATAACACATTCACCCATAATAAAGATAAATAGAGGCACAGAATATAAGATCTTTAAATCAGGTTTGGTGACCATGAGGACAGGTAAGTGGTGGGACAGGGGTACGAAACTTTATTCAAAAAATAATTGTTTTTATGTTAGAGTATAACCAGTGGCAGCTGGTGGGATGGGCTGTGTGCAAGGTGCAGTCTTTTTCAAATTTTAAATTTGTTTCAATTACTAAGGATAAATTCCGAAACAGTATTCTTTCCAATTACAATGATAATATAGCACTACTGGTGCATGGTGTACTCTGCAAATATTCCACTGTTGTTTCTGCTGCGATTCAAATTTCCCTCTCTGGACTGGCCAGTCAACTTTCCCTGCAGTCAAAGTACGAGCATAGTTGATTTGCTTCTTTCTCCCGGTTGTTTTCGTTTCTCAATATTGGATTTCTAGGGGCTAACAGGTAAGGCAGTTTCCGGCACTCGCTTCCTCAGTTTTAGGTGAGGTTTACATGATTTTTAAAGCTCTGGACAAACATTGAACTAAGTTGAGTACTGGGTTATGTATTTTTTGTGTTTTTTTTTTACTTCTGCTATCAGGTAGAGAGAAAGTTACGTAATACGAAATAACGGCCAATTTTCAGCAGAACAATTCTTATTAAAGGGCTGGGTAAGAAAAAGTGGTAAGATCCGTTGCTAATTTAGAACTAAAAAATCCTCTAACATGTTTTGTAGTTCCCTCATTAATAAAATTAATGGTCCTAAAAAACACATCTCAATCAGGTTTTTTGTTCAGTTCCTGGTCCTTAAGAAATGTGAGATGGCCCTTATTTCGCTCCTGAACAGTAATGTAATTTCTCTCTGTCCAAGACATCATATTGGTTCTTCAATACAACAATTGTAATTGGGTACATGTGAGGCAGTAAATATATATTATTATTTTATATTATTATTATTTATTATTATTATTATTTATATTTATGTATTATTATATATATATATTATTATTAATACATACCGTATTGTCAGAAGCCATCTGAACCTTCAGTAAAGCAACCACACACCTGGTCATCATACCGGTGTGTGGTTGACATACCGACCAGTATGTACTGTGGATAATGTAAGATGATAATAATAATAATAATAATAATAATAATAATAATAATAATAATAATCATCATCATCATCATCATCTTGTTTTCTTTTCTTCTTTCTTTTCCTTTCTTTCTTCCATTCTCTTTTTTCTTTAGTTTTCTGTTTTATTTTCTTTCATTCTCTCTTTCTCTTTATTCCTTTTTCCTTTTGTGTTTTTTTCTTTTTTCTTCGAGAACAACATGGATAATATATAAGTAAATGTGTTATTTGGATCTCTTCTAAATGTAATAAACATGTTTTCTCTAATTTTTTTTTTTTTTTTTGGTAACAAAATTTATTTTGTTCTGCAGATCTCGTCAAATATTGGATGACTTCCGTGAAGCTTACTATTGGCTCTCTCACAACACAGATAATGATGCAAGAATTATGAGCTGGTGGGACTATGGATATCAAATAGCTGGAATGGCAAATCGTACGACTTTGGTTGACAACAATACCTGGAATAACAGCCATATAGCATTGGTAAAGTCGTTTATTTTCTAGAAACCTTCTTTACATGTGTAATTTGTTATTATTATATTGTAATTTTTTATTATTGTTATTATTATTATTATTATTATTATTATTATTATTATTTACATTTCACCTCTTGGTTACATTTATAAGTTTTAACAATAGTCTGGAAATATGTTTCCTGTTTTGCAATTGCCAACTCTGTTGCAATGTTGTAGTTACTTAGCATGTAACAATTGTTGTAAATGATGTTCAAATAATTGACAGCATTAGCTGGGAATCACAATCAGAAACAAATTCCCATTAAAACAACTGTAACCTGGTTGAAAAAGGCCACATGTAATAATCACTGATGCTCTTAATTCTTAAAGACTGTTCGAAGAATTGACTTTCTCTTGAGCTAAAGTGGTTAAGAGGAACTGAGAATGCACTTGGAAATCTGATTCCAATTCCCATTTGGGGCAGTCGAATATCATTTATTACTTTTATTACTTTCATTACTATTATTACTATTAATACTATTAATACTATTAATACTATTAATACTATTAATACTATTAATACTATTAATAGTATTAATACTATTAATACTATTAATACTATTAATACTATTAATAGTATTAATAGTATTAATACTATTATTACTATTGTTACTATTATTAATATTATTATTGACATTGAGATACGTGTAATGCTGAATGTATGTCGGGACCATACAGGATAAATTTCAATAAATACCAGGAAATTATGTTCCTTGTTGATCATTTATTATTATATCCTGACGTTTGGTGCATCATGTGTCTACCTTGTAAAAAATAATTAGATGCTTAGATGAAAAGTCAAAAGAGAACAATGTTCCATTGATATTCCTGAGTACGTGGAAGAAGTTCAGCATAGATTTATTTTCTTACAGAATGAAACAATATTTGATATTGCCTAATTATTCTGATTACTGGGAGTTGGACAAGATGCAGGGTTGGAAAAAAAAAAGGGTTAAAAATACAAACAACATACCAATGGATTTATAAATAGAAGTTTCTAGGTTAATAGGCCATGATAAAATTGGCATTGAAAGGCCAAATTTTTCGCCCACAGCTGCAGTGGTCATCTTATCGTGGCATGTTTTCAGACGAAATATCGAGGTCGCTGACTTGGCAGAACTTTGCGTAGAATGCGTTTCTGGAATAATACTTCGTTAATTATTTTTTATGCGTTTTTATGCTGCCAGAATTGGGAAGGAATTAGGACTGTTAGGGTATAGGACACTTTATAGAGGTTGGACTAGGCCCTATGAAGCAGGCATACTTGTTTTGTCGGAACAAATTTCACATGATATTGTCTGAGAATCGAATCCAGACCTTGGTGAAAGGGAATTGACTTCACACTAAGCCACAAGTCTATTTTGTTTTACATAATATATTTTACAATATCAGTATACCGATATCTTCAGCTTGCCATACTTATTATGCAACCTGTCTGGTGGCCATAATGCAGAGCATCAATCACAAAATTGTTCATGAAATTGTTAATCACTCAACAGCACGGATAAGTGCTATTGAGTTTCTTATTTGCAATGTGAAAAAATTATAACCAAAAAAGTACAGTGGTTAATATATCGTTGTTGCAGTTCGCTGTTTGCTATTTAGAAGGAAATTCCAATGGAAACCAGACGACCGTGTTTGTGAACATTCAAGATTCCAGTTTCATGTGTACTTATTTTTAATTTTGGCCTTTTGTAGTTAAGTTATTTGGAATAAATTTGAATTATATTTTAACATCATTGTTAATGTTTATTCAATTTGTTATTAATAGAATGATACATTTTCAGGTAGGGAAAGCTATGTCATCAAATGAAAGTGAAGCCTACAAAATTATGCTTTCCTTGGATGTTGATTATGTGTTGGTAATTTTTGGTGGAGTAATTGGGTATTCAGGAGATGACATCAACAAATTCTTGTGGATGGTGAGGATTGCTGAAGGAGAGCATCCTAAAGATATAAGGGTATGTAATTTCATACCAATTTTTTGTCGAAGAATACAAAATGAAAGTGATACCATCTTTTTCTTTTATTGACAGTATTAACTTGTTTAGTGAAATACTAAGGATAATAATTTTATGGAAACTTCTTTAATAGGTTATGGTTAAAGTATTATCAGAAGTAAGTTATCTACTTCTATTAAAACTCATTCCTACAGTAAATTTTTTTTACTGACGGTAATTGCACTTTTGATTTTGCCATCCTTATGATAATTAACATTCATATCTTGAACATCACTGCTGTGTGTGATTAAATAACTTTTCCAGTTTTATTATAGTATATTATGGTATAAATCCAGTTTTATTGAGGCGTAGGAAGTAAAGTAGGAACAATGTTAAATATTATTTACATATATTACTTTTATCTTAATTTTATGATCCCATCATGTGGTATTTACAATGTCTCAGCAGACACATACATCACCTGCATTCAGGATCTCTGGAGTTTGAAATTTTCTAGCTGAAATGAAAAATGAGCTCTATGTGAATGAGGGATCAGCTCAACACTTGAATTGGTTAAGGTGATTGAGGGAACAGGTGGGGTAAGAACGAATTTTACAGAGCTCTTGCCCATTTAACTCGATAAGTATCACGGCCCCCAAATGGAGATCACAAACATTTGATATTACTTCATTGCTGTTACTACATTTTTTCAGCTCTATCATAATATTCCTGTTTCTAAGAATTACTGTTAATAACAGATGTTTTGTAGAACTTACACTAAGGATGATGATTGTCACAAATCTAGCTTACTACTATTCTGCCATGTGACCGAGATGCATATTTCTTCGATTCTGAAATTAATTATTCAAGAAAGGTCTCATGTGTTCATAAAGAGATGGTGGACCATCTTGGTACTATATTGTTTTATGAATTGATCTATATTGTACAAGTTTATGAAATATTCTAGGAATTCTCCTACCTACGGCTACTCTACTCCTTGAGAGAAATGCGACCCCAAGGTTGAATTCTACGCTGACAGCTGAAGCCCCTCTATTTCAATGTCTGGCTGTGACTACTAAATCGCATGTTGCAGGGATAGAGAATTTAAAGCATGCTTTCAGATGCATTCATTTAATTATGAACATTTCATGTCTCTCTGCCAATTGCATTAAATTCACAGGAATTCTGTTTTATATTTATTTATTTATTGATGGATTTACAAGCAACAGTAAAAACTAATAAATGCTCAAATCATGCTAATAACATTTTCTATGAAAGCTAATATCTATAAATATAATAAATCTCACATATAGTTGTGTAGCAAAATAAATACTTTGTTGGCTATTTATGTACAAAGTTTGAAACAAAATAGAAATAAAAAGTTAAAAATATAAATTATAGAAAGATAAAAAAAATATTATAAGTTATAAGTAATGTTATATGCCAAGGGGTTCATATCTTAGTTTGTCATCCTATTGTAAGCTACTTTGAAAGCTTGAACACTAGTCGAGGTAAGAATTTCTTCTGGTAGACTGTTCCAGAACTCTACAATGCGATTCGATAGGAAGTTTTATTTTTGGAGTCGTTCAAATTTGGCTTTAAAACTGTGACCTCTCAAATGGGTTTTTCGAGATCGGGTAAAGATGGCTTCTAATTAATGATAACCTTGAAGGTTTTGACGTCTGCATGAAGACTTCTCTCACTGAGAGGAGACAGAATCAATTCTCTAAGATGAGCATTGTATGGGAGATTTCTCAGTTAAGGTACTATTTGGTGGCTTTCCACTGTATCTTCCCCAATGGTGAGATGGTCCTTGTTCTAAGAAGGGCTGCCATATTCAATAATTGGAAGGTTGCAGCTTTGGTAGAGAAGTTTAAATGATTCGCCATCTAGATATTTAAAGTCTTTCCTTAAGAGAGAAGTTTTTTTATTTGATTTTTTAGTAATATAATTAATATGTTTCTCCCTTTCCCTTGATATGTTTATAAAGATTTTCCCCCCTCTAGGACACGAAAAACCATTCCGTTTCCCATTGGAGAGTTCCCGTTTTATTCTGTGTAAAATGCCATTTAAATTCGAGGATCAGAGAAATTTTCCAGTTAAGGCAGGTTTCAGGCTTGTACAGGTGCTGGTTTAGGCAGATTTTACTGTATATAAAACTGTGTATTGTTCATAAACATCAACATAAACTTGTTTCTAACTATAATCAATTTACTATTGAATATCTGCTATTGTCAAGTGACTATCCTCAAGTGACCATGCAACTAATAGATCTCTTTGACACACCCTAATATTATTTTGCTATTGTGATCAATTCTTTTCTAGTTTTGAAATGGTAAAATCTAGAGAAAAGCATTTTTGTAGTTTTAAAAACATTACTAAATGTACATAACTATGCTGTTAAGAGAAAATTAGGACAAAAACCTATGGTTTATGTAATAACCAGTCTTATAATTCTTCAGGTACAGTTGCAATTTGGAAAGACTATTGGATAAAATAACTTTCAAAGGAGGAGAAAAGTTTCAAATTAATTCTTAATCCTTACCTTGTTGCACATTGCAGTAGATTCATGGATTAAGGGAATAAATGGGCCTGTAATGCATAGAAAAATATAATTTAGTTTTCACAGGAAAATTGCACTTCCTTTTTATACAAATTTGATCGATGCAGTCATTACTAAAGTACAGTTCTGATATTGCTGTGAATATGTACCCATTACTTTGCTTCTAATAGCAGGCAGATGGCTTTTACTAAAGTTCCCTTGATGCACTGCAAGGAGCTCAGGAAAATGACAAGCCTTGTATGACGAGATCAGTCGGGTGAAAGGAAACTGTGCCTTGTGCCAAAGGAATGTGAAAGAAAGTGTTGTCAGATCATATCCACTGTTTCAAAAAGGAATTTGAGGAGCAACTCAAACATATTAAAAATATAATCTAAAATGCATTTAGTATTTTTTTAAAACAAAGAACCATGATCCCCATTTAGGGGTCAATTTTATTTTATTAGTAGAAATTGCTATTTTTAATTTTTTACAACATGATGTGCCTGTGACATTTCTAGAACAAAACATGCCAGTGAAACTTTTTTGTTCATTTAAAAATTGGATGTTAATGTTCCATACAGAATTGATTGGTGGTAGACCCAGAAATTATCATTTGGAGCATCTCTAGAATTCTTGTTCAAGCAGTGGTTGAGCATAATAGTTATTAAGCGTATCTCAAAAACCTGTACATGGTCAGGATTTGAATTGCCCTCTCTACAAAGTTTCAGTTGCAGACTGAACATTTATAATATAACTACAAGAAAACCTGTTGGTAATAGGTTATTGTTGAAGCATCTCCTAGCTTCACCTTCTTGGCTGACTCATGAGGTGGAATTTTCTCACTATCTACAGTCGCTTACATCTCCCTCTGAAACTGCAATATTCTAGTTTCCCTCATTAAACTGTTATGACCATTGTAATCTGACCTGGATGCCAGATATGCACACATTCAAAACTCATTGGTGCTTATGAGTTCATTACCTAATGGGTGACAGTGCTCTATTTCTTAACAGTCTGATATGGTGGGAACCATTGCAGATAATAGAAGATCCTGTGATTCAAAAATCAAATAAATATATAACGGGAAATACTGCAAAATTTTAATAGTTACAACTAATGAGTGTCAGTAGCCACACACTATTCTTTTCTTAAGAAAAGTAAATGATACATAGAAAGTACTTAAGACATACTCAGTGAAAATTAGTCTGTCATTTTTCTGTCTAGGAAAGTGATTACTTTACTGAGAGAGGTGAATTTCGAGTGGATGCTGAAGGTGCACCTGCTTTACTGAATTGCCTTATGTATAAACTCAGTTATTACCATTTTGGGGAGTTGCAAGTAAGTAACTTCATATGCTGTGTATTTCAAAGTAACTTTGTTGAGCTGTTGATACTCAAATTGAGGAAACCTCTGATTCATTGCGAATTGCACGTAAATGTAATTTGTGATCATTTGTGCATGCAATGTCTTTTTATATTTACATTCTTATAATTGTTTTCTGACACCTATTTTGTTGGGCTTTACTGCACGGTATTTGTAAAGTTTGATAGAATTTCCTACTGATTAACATAAGCATATTTGTTGAAAATGTATGAGAATGGCTTTCCCTGAATTTGCCGTAAAGGAATACATCTGCATCGTTAGGGTAAAGATAGTTATATGCAGTTTTATACAGCAGTATCTCAATCCAATGAGTTGATCAAGTAGCTAGTAGTTAATTACACTTGTTGCTTCTATCATTAGATGGTGTCTTAAAACAATCGTACATCTTGTTACATTACATTTTTTTAACAAAATGAATTATTTGTCATTTTCTTTGATTTCCAAATCAAGTTGGACAAAGTAGAAAAGGGAACGTAATAGCCGAGTCAAGGGCGTGAAAATTTATTTTTGAGTCTTGAACATACATATTGGCACTAATCTCTCGCCCTCTTTCACGCTCATTGACGCTCTCGCCCTCTTTCACGCTCATTGACGCTCTCGCCCTCTTTCACGCTCATTGGCTCTCTCGCCCTCTTTCACGCTCATTCGCTCTTTCGGCCTATTTCAGTGGCGCTCGCGCCCTCTTTCACGCTCAGTGGCGCTCTCGCCCTATTTCACGCTCATTGGCGCTCGCGCTCTTTCACGCACACTCGCGCACGCACTCTCGCGCTCGCGAGCGCGCGTGAGTGCAAATGAGAGTCTGAGCACACACGCACTAGCGTACGCTCGCATGCTCTTGTCTTCCTCTGTCCCTCTTGTGCTCTCCCTTTCACACACGCAGGCGCGCGCACATACGCACACACGCGCGGACACAGGCAGACTTGTGCTCATGATGTGGAGTAAAGGTTTTTCCAATCCACTTTTCGGACAGTAGACGTCACTCAATGAGCATTCTGTAGAGGTTACCCCAATCTCTCCTCACCAGCATGTGGAAGCAGAGATAGCTTAGAGAAGTTGCTTGGTTTGGGTATGGACATTCAGAAATACTTTGTTCTTATATTATATACACAATTATAATGGAATGGGTGAGTTTTGGAAATTCAGAATATTTAAGGTATTCAATATGATTGGTGGCAAATTAAAATGATTGCGCCTCACTATTGGGTATATTTAATACCATTGACAAAAGGAGTATTGCATATCTATCCAGATCTTGCCTAAGAATATCTCTTTGTGTAAGTTAAGTATTGAAAACTTCTTTTGATATCAGTAAAATTTTTTTATACTTGACACAATTATTTGCTGTTATTTTCTTCATAGTAGAAGTATTTATGGGGAGGGTATATTTAGGTAGAGAAATATTGTGTTAGGTAAAACAAACAATAAGTTGACCTGTATTTAATGTTTGTTTTCTAGTTTAATTACAAAAAAAATGTGACTGTGCATAATATAATATTTGTTGCAGCTGGATTACAGAAATCCTGCTGGCTTTGATCGAACTCGCAGTGTTGTAATTGGAAATAAAAATTTTGATCTAACATACTTGGAGGAGGCATACACTACTGAGCATTGGCTTGTTAGAATATATAGGTATATAATTTTACATTTTGGATTTATTCTTTTTTTCTGTGTAAATAATGATAGTGATATTAATGGGATTTTTTGTGGTAAAGGGTGAAGAAACCTGATTATTTTAATCGTCCAGAGATACCTTACTCGGAACGTAAGGTGAAACAAAGCAAATTATTTGTTTCTAAGAAGGTAAATAATCACAACTTTTATAATATTTGTGCAAATATTTATCTTTCTACATGTTACTGCTCATATGTATTCTCATATTTTACCATTCCCATTATAGAATGGCAAACGCAAAAGAGGAGTAATCAAAAACAGACCTGTGGTCATTAAAGGGAAGAAGCCTGGTAAAAGCCACACTTCATAATGGGAGTTTAAGGACTCTGCTGCCATTGCCTAGGATTTGGATGTCTGGAGTCTTCAGTAATGTGCCCTTACCTGGAGCAAGAGCAACAGTGTCCTCTGAATTAACAGCACAAAGGTGCAATCTGTGTACTTGAGGACCAGAAACTTGAAGAATGTGTGTATTTTGTAATCTGTGAAGCTTTTTTAGGCAAAGAAGTGGGCTTTGTTCTGTGACCTATCACATTTGTAATGGCCAGTGGTCTTGTTGAATGATTGTAGTTCCATGTAGTATACCTGAGCAATTAGATATATCTGTGCGGTACAATGAACTACAATTTCTGATTTGTCCATTTAGGTCCCAAAACAGAATTTTCTGAAAGTTGAGATAATGCAAAATTTCATAATAATTAATGCTCATGATTAATTTTATAATTCAGAGAGAAAATGCAAATGGGGAATACATATGTTTGTTAGAATAAATGCCAGAAAGGTCTTAGTTATTCTTATACTGTTTGCTTTTTATTGTCTGGATTCAATAGACTTGAATGCATAATTGCACACATACCTCTTTTCCTCTTATTAGAGCTAAAATATTTCATTATCTGAAACTGTTATATTCTTTGATGTAAATCATTGTCAAAAAATAATTGTGATGTAACTAGATCTATTTATTGTGTTACTTTTTCCCCTGGTTCATCTGAGAATTAATAAAATGAACTCTTCGTAAACATTGATTGATTAATTTTTACTAACTTTTGTTATTTTTGTAATGAAGTTCAGTTATAATATACATCTCAAATGCTGTTCTCGTTTTAAGGTACTCAGTGTAAAATAGCGTGGTGTTATTGTGTTTTCTTTCTGGTTTGGATTTTGTTGTACTATTTGCTATACACCAATAATTTAAGATACTTACCAATATAAATTGATAATACATTATAAATTTGAAATTAATCTTAAATTCCTCATTGTAAGATTAATTACAGAGCCTTTTTTCCAGTAGTAATTGGTGTAATTTAAAAATAGCTGATAATATTTTCCCATCTATTACTTAGTGCTATTTTGATTTTATTTTAAAGTTTGAAAAATATCAACAAGATGTTCGCTTAAGATATTAAATTCTTTTGTTTCAAAACTGTCCTTGAAAACTTTGCTTAAAAATCTTACTATTACATTCTTGGAATCAATTATTTTACACTTACTTAAACTAGAGAGACAGCATTGTTCACCCTTCATAGTATGCAGTTTTACGACTTTGACTCGTTACATTTTAACCCTTATCTGGGCAACTAAGGTCCATTGGTTCCAGAAGGAAAATAATTAATATTTTACCTGACAACTATCAAAGGTGTTAAGATAGTTTTTGTGACTGTTTACTGTGGTGTTTTTCTAAATATAGCCGCAACCTTTTTACCAAAGCGTTTCTGAATAATAATTAAAAAAATCTTCATCTTTTTTCAGACTCAACAGGACAAGCAGGGTCTATTAATCTGTGTGTAATATTGCATTTTCTGATTTTGTTTGGTTGATTGTTTGACAACTGTGGGTGCAAGGGACGGACAGATGTCCAGTTGTGCAGTCTTTTCATCGGGATGTTTTCCGACACTAAGTGTGAGCGACTAACATGCAACACTCGCTGTGCTGGATACTCAGATTGGTGTGAAATTTTACCAGGTTGTTCAGCATATTTCAAAACCCCTAGATTCAAAATTTTTACGTGCTATGAAGCAAGTAGTGTTTTTGCGACAATTAATATTGAGACCTTACCGATTGTGGAAGAGCGGGAATCGCTGCTCACCGCTTGTTGTACTGTTGTTACTTGTTCGCTGCGCTGCCACTATCTGGCAGTAGGGTCTCAGTTGCCTTGGAGGGCAGGCAAGGTGACAAAAACAGGTGTTTACTTTGCAGATTCTGAAGAACGAGTAGGACGAGAACCCATGCATCGCTAATTCGAGTGCAAATATTGAATGTATACTTACTATATTATCATTTATATGTATGAGAGGATTTAATGATTAAAATGGGGTTTAATTAATCAGAAAAGATTTATTCAATAATAAATACGTAAATAAATAAATGAAAATAATACACAGATACAATAAATAAATATTAATTAAATAATAATTATAAATTCCATGGTGGTAGCAGATATCTTGTGGTAATCCATTATATGGTAAAGGAAATAATCTCCACAAAAGTTTTAATAATTTTTATTAATAATTTTCCAGAGTTAACTTTTGGGGAAAAACTTTTCCCATTCTCAGTGGATCTATCTCAAGCAACGTGGATCTCCCATGAATGTTCACAAATGTCAAAAAATGTGAAAACTGCAAAATGTGCTGGTTACAGCTAGGTGGCAGCCATCTCTTGGAATGGGAGAAGAGGAAGCCTAACCAATCCTAGGCTTATTTCCTAGATTATTTCCTTTACAATACTAATAATTATATGTTTTATTATATTATATATTTATATTATATATTATATAT